AGCTGCGCCGAGGGACGGTGGGGCCACTGCACTTGCGCTTGAGGCCACGCAGCAGAAAGAAGGGGAATGTGGGCTCCGCCACAGGTCATGCGTTTCCATTGCAACAATGGGTCGAACTTTATACAGACACCACCATAGAGAGAAAGCCTTATTTTCATTCAATATGCTAAAAGGAAGACTTTGAGTCCTCCTGAGCAGTCCATTCCTGCACTCATGTCATGCATGGGACCAAAGGATGTTCAGCAACCCTGTAGCTGCTTACAGGAAGAGGTGATTGAGCGAAAGGTCGCTGAGCTGCTGTGATGGAGCGGAACGTTGCTTTGGCTGGGGAAAAGATTTGTGCAGAACAAGAGCTCAGGCATGGCTCTCATTCACCCACATGGGATTTGTCACAGGATGCTACCTTTACTGGCGGCTCACCTTGCCCCATGCAAGGGCAGCCTCTCTACCCAGAAGGGGAACTCTATGGGAATGAAGGGTGCATAATAATCCATCACATGTAAATGTTTCTCAGATGACGCCACATGCATGGCACAAAGTGCAAATTCATGCATTGCTAGATTGAGAATTTTCTTCAACAGAATAAAGAACAAAGCACAGGAGCTGTTTTCAGTACCTAGGCATCTTGGTTCAGCTGACCAATCGCCATTGTTACAAGTTACCGTTGGAGACCCTTCCATTTTGTAGAAATTTTGGCATTGATATTGTACAGATTCTCCTGGCAGATATTCTGTTTTTGGAATGTTCACAATATCTCCATTTTCTATGAGAGGTGGGAGAGGACATTTTCCTTCAGCATCTACAGTGAAGCATTAATTAGAAAAAGAATCCATTAGATGACATTCAATTAGCACTCCCCCCCCCCCTTTAGAGGTGAATTAAAAAGGCAAACAACAAAACAACAACAAAAAATAACATATTACAGATGGTTTTGAGGAATGTATGGCAGAAAATAAGTTGCCATTTCTGTTGTCTTTCAGGCATGGATGATACTGCTTCACCAATTTCCTGGTACCTCAAAGGGGCCACTGACTAAATCAATAGCAGCTTCCTGGGTGTGACTACCGAGGTTGGGGAGGCCCCTGCACTTTGTGCTCCTGTTTGCCAAAGGGATGTACCTGATTCCTGCCAGCCTTTCAAAATCCTCCCAGCATGGAGCAGAATTCAGTTTGAGAGCAGACTCTGGAGAAGATTATCCTGGAAGGTGAGCATCTTTCCTTCCAAGCTGCTCCCTGAACTGCTCTGTCCATCCCCTCCCCTTGCCCGGTTCTTGGGTTCACTTCTAGGGCCAGGCCAAGCTTTCTTTCAGTGTTTCTGGCCCATTGGCCAGGATCCGGCAGGCAAGCAACGCTGCTCGGGGTGCTGGAGCAACAGCAGCTAAGAAAGGAGGCAACATCATGGCATTTCTCCATTCAAAATGTTCAATAACGATCTTCCCTTCTCTTTTATCTTTCTCTGTCCTGGTCTATCACTCTCTTCTATATTCTTCCCACAGTTGGGAAATTCTCACAAGACAGTGTGGTTGGTAAGAGCAGTGCTGAAATTACCTGAATCACACCCACAGGGAACAGTGCCCCCCCCCCCATCCAGGCCCCAATCCTCCCTCACCCAACCCGTTCACATGATTGCAGAGGAAGTTACTTGGAGCTGTGTGGTTCATCCAGTGCCATAATCCAAGACAAATAACTGGGGGATTTTGTGTTCATTTGTTCTTTCTTTCTTTCTTTCTTTCTTTCTTTCTTTCTTTCTTTCTTTCTTTCTTTCTTTGCATGGAGAAGACATGAAGACCACTCACTAATACACTAAAGCAAACTAAAGTGGATTGGAACGGGACATTCCTAATCATACAAACACAACGTATTTAACTCTGGAAATAACATTCTCTGCCCCCTCCACCCCCATAAGGATACACACTGCTTATCTGATAGAACATGCGGGCAAAGGGTGGAATTCGCTGCCACCAATCTTGATGGCCATAAGAAAGGATAGGAGGAATTCATGGGGAGACTTTCCAGGACTGGGTTGCAAGGCTTGCTAAGTGATGGGGCAGGGGCTTCGCATGCTGTGTGAACCCCTCCCGCTTCCCTCGGGGAGGCTCATAAAGCACCTCAGGCCAGCCAGGCTTTCACCAGGGTTTGGGTGATGGCATTAGAGATGAACATGCATTGTCCTTTATATAGATTGAAAAAGCCCGGGGGAAACTATGCCATACGGTTCAAGCCCCACAAAGTCAGGAAGCTAAAGCTAATGCCTTAGCAGACATCTCAACTGATACAGTGCGGTGTCTCAAATGTTGCTCGCTCACAACATTCCCCCCATGCACCTGCTCTTTGCTAGAGTCTTCCAGGGCCAAACCCAGGGGTGCCTGGGCCCTTTTCCTGGCCCTGTATTGCCTTATGAAGCAGCTGAGCATTCCTGGATCAGGAGAGTGGTCCTCCGATGAGTTGCCCCATGCCTGCAGGTTGCCTAGCCCAGTGACTGGAGGGTTGAGTTAAACATGGAGAATACTGGATGAGGGGGCACTCAACAGAGCTTTCTTCATCTTTCTTAGGGCTTGCTTGTTTCATGGAGGTCCCAAGTGTAGCCACAGAGGAATATGATCTACAGTCCTAAAAAGGAGATGTCTGGGGCAACATGCCTTCCAGGCCTTATGCATTTGTTCTGCTTCCATTTTCCCTGAGCTTTGGGGAAAGGAAAAAGTTAAAATGCAACCATGGCTCACTGTGGTGTGCCCTGGTTGGCAGAAATGGAGAAAATGGTGACCACTAGATTTTGAAGCTGCCTGCTCCCCTTCCTGCATTCTTCCATATTTCAACACTGCACAATAATTTGTTTTGCAATACCCTAGTTCTGGCAGTAGAAAATTAGATTTGGAAAGAAAAGTCTAGGAAAACTAATTGAGCAAATGTGAATTTCCCTGCTTTTATACCCCTGTTGTCCCAAAGTCTGTGTGTGGATAGAGCCCACCTTCAACTGAATTATGAGCCACTCGGATAAGATCAGTGCTGCTGGTGCTGGTGGATGCCACCCAGTGATCAGGGAAACCAGCCACGTCCAGCTATCTCTCTAGAGTGAATATCAAGTGTTTCTCGAGTGCATTGAAGGATCCCCCACAACCGGTCAGAGATGCAACCTGCTCTTCACCCTAAGAGGGACTTCATCAATGCCTGGCCAATGCTCAGAATGTGTGCATGCAAAGGTTGATAAGTTCCAAGCAAGTACCCTTTCCAGCCCTTTCAGGTCCTGCCGCACTCAGCGGGGAGCAATGACGGAGCAGGCAGTTGCTCCAGAGGCAGGCCAGATCCTGGCTCAAGGGTTCTTCAGCCTTTCCTGCTGGGAAGGCATGATGAGACTACTTGAAGGAAACATGGCAATATGGATGACCCTTTGGTCCTAGCAGGATGTTCGTCTTGGTACATGAGTGTCTTCTGTTGGTCATAAAGGCCATTTGTCCAGCAACTGGAGCACAGCTTACCACCTCCAAGATGGCAGCTTGGATCTTCCTGAGCTTCAGGTATACACAGCAGGTTCTCGGGGAGCACAGGAAGGGGCGGAGGCAGCCAAGGAAGTGCGGTATGGGGGGCGGATCAGGGCCCTGCTCATAGGTGACAGTTCCTCACATCTAATCAAATGTGTAACCTCACAAAGATGCCACTTTTTGTCCACTCTAATGCAATTGGTTGGATCTTCTTGCTTACCTACCAGGCCCTGTTTTTGCATATGGTTGGTGCTTTGTCCCTGCAAGGGATTGCACCCCACTGCCCTGAAATCTCACTGCGAGTTTATTTGTTAGATTCCTCTTAGCTCATGGACTAAATGCCCATGTGAAAGGTGTGGTCCTCACTGCCATTTCTGGATATCCTGGACAAACTATATCTCAGGTTCCCAACAGAATGACTGTAGCAAAGAGAAACATCCTATACTTGGAAACAACATTTCACCATTTCAGGCCATCCCCCTGGCAGAGAAGTCCTCAAAGGGACAGCTGCTGCACTGCCCTCAGCCCCCTGACCTATTCCATATAGGAGTGTGAATTACAGAAGCGTGGCCTTCCTCCACAGCCATCCCGTGGGTTACGATACATGCATTTCACTCTTAAGCTACAGTGCTGGCTGCATTTGCCTTAAGATTGTTGTGTCATAGCAAAGCAAAAGGTACTTAGAATCATAGAACAGTGGAGTTGGAAGGGGCCATGAAGGCCATCGCGTCCAATCCCTGCTTTTGCAGGATACCACGTTGCACCATACTTACTCTTGCACAATGGAGGAGGAGACCAGCCACTCTCGGTGCACTTGGAAATTGGCCCTCTGCTCCTATAACCAGCATCACACTGTACTTCAATTGGCTCATCCAATCTGTACTGACTCTGCATTGGACGGACTTTCCCATTAGGTACTCGTGGAGGGAGACACACAATTTCTACGGAGAAATACCAATACTCAGCAATTAACCTGGCAGCAAATTCCTTCCCCAGCCTTTCTTTAGGGGTCACTCCCATTATTATGCAGTCTGTGGGAGAGGGGATGATTTTACAGCACTCAGGACTGAGCAGATGAGAAAGATGCAAGGCAGAGCTAAGATGAAGAAAGCCGGAATCACAGATGAGATTGGCCTCAGACAGGATGGGGAATGACAGACATGGGCCGTGCTCTGCCCCCAAATAGCTTTGGGTACCCCCTAGCAGATCCACCAGGTGGCAGCTCACTTTTCTCCAGAGGAAGCAAGCACAGCTTGAAAGGCCAAGAGGGAGGGCACTTATGGGCAATGCTCCCCTCGGACCCACGGAGTGCTGCACTTCACAGAAACCTCACTGGTACCCAGCACCAGCTTTGCTGCAGAAACTCAGGCCTGGCTCAGCTTGTGCAGCGCTTTTCTGGCCCCAGAACACTTCCTGAGGAGCACTGCAGCCCACAAGATTTCAGACGTGGGCCAGTTCTGCATTCATTGCAAGATCCTCCTCTCCCTCTCCACAAAATTGTCTGCTGCTTAGAGATGGAGGGAATTCAACTACAAAAGTGTGCTGGAACACCTTTTATTTCTAGGTGGCACTGAGGAGAGACAGAGGCGAATGCTTTTCATTTCAGCATCCACCCGCTCTAGTATGAGCCCTAGCAATGTGGACTCCTGCTGCAACAAAAGAGCCTCTGAACATAAAATTGAACATAAGACTGGCTCTGGATACAGCCCATCAAGACAAAGTGTTGGAGAAGACTTCTTTTTAATTCTAATGGTCTGTCATGACCAAATATTGCCTCCCTCCAAACACCCGCACCAACTGAGAAGGATCAGCAAATAAAAGCATTCTGTGTATGTTTTCTTTGTTTGAAAAGTATGCAATGTTCCAGTAAATTTTCATTACTTTCATTATATTTGCTTCATCCCAGCTTGAGTTACCTTTGCATTCAGGATACACAATTGGTTTTCCATTACAGTGGATTACAAAAGCAGATTCAGAAGAATTTGTTGCAGGGTCATATCCTGGTTTACAGGCAAGCTCAACAGAATCACCACGTCGCACATATACATTATCCGATCCTTTCTCCTCTGACCTCACCTCTAGATTCCAATTTTCTATTTCAGCCAGTGAGATTTTACAGGGTGCTGGAAGAGAAGAGAAGAGAAGAGAAGAGAAGAGAAGAGAAGAGAAGAGAAGAGGGTCTTTCTTTAAGATGTTCTCAGCTCCACTCATTGCCATGCTAGAAATATGAAGATGGGCTCATAGAAGAGTTGAAAATAACAATTGAGGACTGCTCAGACCACACTGGTTTGAAATTCTAATGTATTTTTAAACAGAAAACA